TCCAGTTTTTAAAGCAGCCATGTTTTACACCATTGCTTTTTGCTTTTGTTTACCAACTTCAGCCTTTACCTGCCTTGAGAATTAGCTGGCTCCACCTCTCCTGTAGGGAGAACTAGATTGGATCAGATAAAGAACTATCTGGTTTGTTTGTTTCCACAGATACCTTTGAGAAACTTACAAATAGGAGCTAAGTACAGGTGCAGCGTCCTACGTCTGTTTCCGGGCAACTGGCTTTGAAAAATATTAAGAGACAACTGTTGGTAACTGTTAAGTCTGTTACTTTTAAATTGGTAGATAATGGTAGCAAGGTTGCACCTGGTTGAGGGTAAGTTGGTCCTTCTGATCTTACAAGATCTTGGTGACTTGCGATTCCAGGATCCGATCTGGATCGGTCATGGGGACCAAAGGTTTTGCCTTCTGAGCTTTCAAACATGCTGGAGCCCATCCTCTGAGAACTCATGTGCTTTGGATCCTGCAACATCCTGGAACACATATATTCACCTTCACTTGTGATACCGTTGACCATAAAGTCTTAAGCCAGGGGTGTCCCTGGCAACGTTAAGACTTCAACCGTGGCAGCTTTTAAGACTTGTGGACTTCAACTCTCGTGCATGTCTGGCTGGAGAATTCTGGGAGTTGGAGTCCACAAGTTGCCAAGGTTGGACACCCCTAGTCTGCGCCTTGGAGTAGGAGAAGCAGCAGTCCTACCCTCTCTTCAGCGTGCTGGTCCAATCAATAGTAACTGAGATACCAAAACCCTGAGCATCCCTATTAACCCTCTAGATCAGGGGTCTGCAACTCGCAGCTTTGGAGCTGTGCGTGGCTCCTTCATCCCTCTGCTGTGGCTCCCTGTCACTCAAAATATGTGTCACAACCGCCAATGTGTGACACACACTGGCACGCAACTTATTGAGCTTTTTGAGAGTTCAAAATGTTTTTGTTGCATGCAGAAATTAAACTAGCAGTTCATTGATTTCATAAATGCAGCACACTATAGTTTTTTCTAATACATAGCATAAAGGTAAAAAAATGATACAAGCAGTGTTATCGTCATTTTAGATTGCAAAAGGGTTTTGTGGCTCCCGGTGTTTTCTTTTCTGTAGGAAACAGGTCCGAATGGCTCTTTTTGAGTGCTTTAAGGTTGCCGATCCCTGCTCTAGATAAGGGGTCTCCAATCATGGCAACTTTGCTGACTGGGGAATTCTGGGAATTGAAGTCCGCCAGGCTTAAAGTTGCCAAGGTTGGAGACCCCTGATCTAGATCAAGGCACTGAAAGATCATTCATCATTTCTGGATAAGGTATCTGTATTCTGATACAATCCTGGGGTGAACAAGAGATGGGAATGACGTGAGCTGGTCTATGAAGACTGAGTTAAAAGCTTGAATCCTTGCCAGAATGGCGAAGTTGCTTGGGCAAACGACGGATTGCTTGAAGATTCCACGATGAGGCAGACACAGTCCAGCCTCACGAATCTATTATCTTAGTGGGGTTGAAGACTGTGTAGCCCCCTTCCTTTTTTTATTATTTCTGAATTCCTTCTTGGAACCCTTTCTGCTTCAAGAGAGAGACGGCAGCCCTCACAATCAACCAGGCTTTGCAAACATCAGATGACGCTCAAAAATTGTTTTTTTTTTCTTCTGCCCGCCTATTTCCTGAAGATATGCCCCCTCTTTCCGGTTATGAACCTTGTGGTTCCTCAAAGTGCCAGTGCCAACGATATCAACAAACTCCCAAGATTTGAGTCTGCCTGCCTTGATCCCCATAGCACAGGGGTGAGCCCTTCATTGTCCCCAGTGGTGAAATCCAATTTTTTTTTTACTACCGGTTCTGTGGGCGTGGTGTGGCTCGGTGGGCGTGGCAGAGGAAGGATACTGCAAAATCCCCATTCCCGCCCCACTCCTGGGGGAAGGATACTGCAAAATCACCATTCCCTCCCCACTCCGGGGGGAAGGATATTGCAAAATCACCATTCCCACCCCATTCTGGGGCCAGCCAGAGGTGGCATTTGCCGGTTCTCTGAACTCAAAATTTCCGCTACCGGTTCTCCAGAACCTGCTGGATTTCACCCCCAATTGTCCCCCAATCCTCTTCCAACCATTTAGTACCAACATGGTTCTCTTGGTACAACTCATAATTAGCTTATCCAAAGCTTTCTCGATTCACCCAGTTCGGAGCGGGGCATACATGAATCCCCGATTCTCGTCGCTGCTACAAGGTTTAAAGACTGTCCCTGCCCATCAAGAGGTGGCCCGTTCGCACAAGTGTAAAACAAAAACAACACTCTCCACATTCGTGTTAAAACATCCTTTATTTAAAACAGAGAATATCCCTGAAGCTCTCACAATTCTAGACCCCGAAAACAGGTGAAGGTAAGTTCTCCTTTGAGGTGAGCTCAGCTCCTGCTCTGGGTAGCTTTCTTGGCGACTGTAAAGGAGGTGACTACCCATTGCTGTGGAGTGTGGTTTTGGCCACCAGTCTAGATCACGGGGATCTGGTGGATCTCCATTATAAATATGAACAAGATCCCTGATCAGGGGTGGTAGTCACTCACTTTCCCTACCGGTTCGCAAATGTGAGTGCGTGTGTACGCTTCGTTCACACGCAGCCATCCACACATGTGCTTTGCTCTCGCGCATGCCTTCTGCGCATCCACCTGACCTCAAAAACGTGCCTAAATAGAACAGCATAGAGCCGGGGGGGGGGAATTTCCGCTACCGGTTCAGGCAAACCGGTCTGAGCCTTCCGAGCTTTTTGAGAGAGAGAGAGAGACATTCCAGTGAGAGAGAAGTTCTCCAAGGATGATGGGTTCCAGCACGAGTCCAAAAGCTTGGAAAACCAAACCTGTGGTCCCGTGTGACCAACCCAAATTGGATCCTGCAACATTATCCTGGGACACATAAGATTTGCCTTCAATTTGTAAGATCTGATCCTGCGTAGCTGAAAATGACCTGCTATGAAAAGATGAGTGTAGATGGGGACTACAGCCAAGAAATTAAAAGACGCTTGCTCCTGGGAAGGAAAGCTATGGCAAAGCTAGACAGCGTACTAAAAAGAGACATCACCCTGCCAACAAAAGTGCGTATAGTCAAGGCGATGGTTTTCCCAGTTGCAATGGATGTCTGTGGAAGTTGGACCATAAGGAAGGCTGAGCGCCAAAGAATGGAGGCCTTTGATCTCTGGTGCTAGAGAAGACTCCTGCGAGTCCTTTGGACTGCAAGATGATCCAACCAGTCAGTTCTAGAGAAGATCAACCCTGACTGCTCTTTAGAAGGCCAGATCCTGAAGAGGAAACTCAAATCCTTTGGCCACCTAATGAGAAGGAAGGACTCACTGGAGAAGAGCCTAATACTGGGAACGATTGAGGGCAAAAGAAGAAGGGGACGGCAGAGAACGAGGTGGCTGGATGGAGACACTGAAGCAGTCGGCCTGAGCTCAAATGGACTCCAGAGGATGGTAGAGGACAGGAAGGCCTGGAGGAACTTGGTCGGACACGACTTCGCAATTAACAACAACAACAATCCTACTGCTGATGGCTTCGTAGAATATCATACAACCGTTCAAAAGTAGACCAAGTAGATTTTGGGGCGGTGGCTGGTTTTTTGGGGTTTTTTTTTAATCTCACAATTTAGCTTAAAGTCTCAGGAAATCCTAGCATCTCTCGTCCAAATATAAACCAAATCTAATCTATTTAGCTTTCTGAGAAGACTTTAAAATCCTGAGTAAGTCAGTGTTGGGTAAAAGTGTTTTTTCTTTCCAGATCATGTTATAGGTAGCTCTTGATTTAGGACCATTCGTTTAGCGACCGCTTGAAGTTACAATTGCGCTATGAGGACCAGTCCTCGCATTTACAACGGTAGCAGTTTCTCCCGACGGTCACGTGGGAAGAACGCACGTGATTTTGGAATGTCGCAACCGGCTCACAATTATGGTTGCGATATCTTGGGATCACACACTTCTGACAAGCAAAGTCAATGAGGGAAGCTGGATTCATTTAAGGACCCCGTGATTCATTTAACAGCCACAGCAATTTGCTTAACAACCATGACCAAAAAAAAAAAAAGAGGAGTAAAATCGGGCGAGACTCACTTAATATCTGCCTCGTTTAGCGAGGGAATTTCTGGTGCCAATTATGATCCAAAGCGGAGAATTATCTGTACATTTTTGCCTGAACTCTTTCAAACTGGAGATCCTGCAGATTATAATTTAAGATTTCTGTTCTATTCTTGGTTTCTTTTGATCAGGAGGAGCAGGAAAGACAAATTAAACCAGGTAGACAAAAAAAAATATTTTTTTTTACTGATCAAACAAGGCGACTATCAAACAATATCCTAGAGCAGGGGTGTCCAACCTTGGTAGGTTTTAAGACTTGTGGATTTCAACTTCCAGAATTCCCCAGCCAGCCATGCTGGCTGGGGAATTCTGGGAGTTGAAGTCCACACAAGTCTTCAAATTGCCAAATTTGGAGATCCCCTTCATTTGAGGCTTGCTGCTGAGATTTTATTTTTTTTATTTTTTATTTTTTTTGCAAAGATTGCAACATTAACAGGAAGGGCTTGGTCTAACTGAAGTGCACTTCCTTATGTTCTTTCGAAACGCACAAAAAAGATATGCCTTTGCAGAGCATTCCAACTCTTATCTTCTTCTCTTAAAACGCCAAATCTGTGCAGACGAAGCCAAGCATTTGGTATTCCTCGTAAATTAAAATGCACGGCTGATGTTAGCTCAGCCCTGAATGACACTGCTGGATAAGACTGACAAAATCCGATTTTGAAAATATTATTTCTAAAACAATTAGTCCCCTTTAATAATTTAAACAAGCAGTACAATTAAAAGACGAACAGCGGTAGACGCAGGCATTTCGTTTTGACTCATCAGGACCAAACCTACAATAACCCGGTTAAAATCGGACTAAAGCATAGGTTCTTAATATATTATTAATATAAGATCCTATATTTTATTCCAATTTTAACCGGGTTATTGTACGTTTGGTACTGGTGAGTCAATACGAAATGCCTGCATCTACCACTGTGCATCTTTTCATTGTACTGTTTAAAATATTATTTCTGACTCTTTTCCACCCCATTCTGCCAAAAGAGCAGGCAGCCGGTATTACATTCTGCTTCCTTTAAGCATTTCACCTCTGATTTTAAAAAGCCAGTTGTCTGCCAAACTGTATTGTTGAGCTGTCAGAAGCAAGCTGATTTAGAGGGTTTTTTTTTTCCAGTGGCCAAAGGTGAGGCCGTCCACCCTCAACATAAGATAGTTCTTTGCTGGTCCTTCGGCTTAGCATAATCCGAATACGTTATGCAAAGATATGCGCATATCTTTGTATAACGTGACGTCCTGCATTCTCGGGGGCTAAGGTGAGACATTTTTTCCAGAGGCAGAATTTCAAGTTCTTTTTAACATCATACATTCACCCACAACCCTTTAGAGATGAAATGCGAAGGACATCCCCCCCAGTTTCATTCCTACTTCTTCCCTGTATCCACTTCCTTGAGCCAAAAAAAAAAAATTCCTATCCTGAGATTTGCTAAAACGCGGGAGATAAAACACCTTATCACTTCCCTCTGCCTTCTTAACTGCCGTTTCTCTAAGGGCTACGAAGATCAATCCAAGCCAAGAAATCAAACCGTTCTTAACCGTCCAGGAGACCACTAATGATCTTGGAAGTATGCAACTGCTTGCCTGAAGATGTTTCTGAAGTAAGAACCCATGGGACTGTTCCTCTGGCCCACCCTTGCAGCCTCAGGAATTTGGTATTCCGTCCTAAAGACCCCGATCCAACCCCATCTTGAAGGAGCGCAGTTATTGTTGGTGTTCCCTGCTCCGGGGACGGCCAAGTCTTCTTCCGTTGCTCCCAGGAGTTCCTTCAACTCTCTGGGAGCATCGGCGTGGAGGTACTGCCAAGCTTTGCGGCCATTGTGATCCCTGAGGCTGGTGTTGGCCCCGAAGGCTCCTACTAGGATCTTGATGGTCATCGCGTGGCCCTGAAGAGCAGCCAAGTGGAGAGGGGTCAGTCTCCCACTGGCCGTGAGTATGTTGACGTTGGTTGGATAGCCGTTCCTCTCTGCAAAAGACATCACCCGGATCAAATCTTCGTGACGGCCGTGTTTGGCCAACCAGTGGAGGACAGTAAAACCAGTCACAAAATCTCTCCTGGAAAACAGGCTGGGCTCCTTGGCTAAGAGGTTGAGGATGCTTTCGGCGTCCCCTTGGGCCACCGTCAACATCCATTCGTGTTCCAAGGGGTCCAGAGCTAAGCACGACTCTTCAGAATTCGCCTCCGAGAACGGATCCTCTACCCGTTGGGTCTCCATCGAGATGGACTCTTTGAGGGAAGGTGTAAGCCAGGTGGGGCTGGCTTGACTGCTCTGCAGGAGAAGCTCCTTCAACCCTTTCCTCCTGGTGCTACTCCAAGATATGGAAAGGCGGGATGGGTTCATTTCGGCCACCCACTTTGCCGAATTCCTCTTCACCCAGCTCCTGTTGGTCGGTTGACCCCGGAGAAGGCTCAAGGATTCAGCTCGGCTGATAGGACGAGGGGACTGGGTGCCATCAGAAACTCGTCTTTGTTCCTGGAGGTTGCTTGGCAGGATGGGCCTCTCTCCTCCTCCTCCTCCTCCTCCTCCTCCTCCTCCTCCTCCTCCTCCTCCTCCTCCTCCTCCTCCTCCTCCTCCTCCTTTCTGGTTCCTCTCCTTTTGCTTCTCCATCACGTCCCTTCCTTCAGGGTCTTGCATCTCCTCAAAGTTCCGGTACTTTCCCCACCTCTATCCTGAAGTCTTGGTCACTGTTGTGTGCAGCTGCTTCTTGAAGTCATCGTTTTCCTGCTCAGAAGAGGAAGTGAGGAAGGTCTTTTCTTGCTCCTCAACGTTGCCTGCATAGAAAGAGGGAACCAACATGGGCCATCAACACTTAGTAAGAGGAACTGATCACTCCCTGAGAAAGAGACCATGAGTAGCAACACTCTACCGAGAAGGTGTCCATTTGCAGCCCTTCCAAATTGGGGTGCTTGGTGTTCAAAGTACAGTCCTTGATGCTTCTACAAGCTCAGAGAGCATCAAGGACCCCACCGTTCAGCTCTGAGCTGCAAATATTTTTCTTCTCTTCTCTCCAAAGTTTTGAAGAAACTCAAAAGAGCCTTCATGGTTGATCAATGCTCTGGACTTCTCTTTTAAGCCAACTGAAGCTTTCACTAACATGTCTTCCGAGGCAAGCAAATATATATATATATATCACACAAGAACAAAACAACCTTCTATTTGCAACCTTCTCTTTTTCCTTACGCATCAATTCGATTTCCAAAAATAACCCCAAAACACACTTAGAAGAACAGCCATGGATAGGCAACTTTGAGACCCCTTCATCTTAAAGGGCTCCACCTCTCTATTATTTTAATAGTTCAAAAACAACAAGGTCGGGATATATCTGCTTGCTAAGATCAGTTAAACCTTAAAGCTGTAGCAAGTCCCTCCCATGTTAACCACCGTTACTTTTAATCTTGGTTGGGCTGGCATGCTCGTATGAAGCTTAGCATGTAGTTGAAATGCAGACCATTTGAGAAAGTTTATTATTCATTATGGTCTGAATCCAGAAAACTAATTCATTCATTCAGGGACCAGCTTAAGTGCATTAGATTGTTGGGGGCAAGAGGCTGATTTTGTAATTCACTTAGAGAGGGCTGTAAAGCACTGTGAAGAGGTATACAGGTATATGTCTAAGGGCTATTGCTATCTTCTTCCCTCCCTCCCTCCCTCCCCTCCTTCCTTCCTTCTTCCCTCCCCCTCTCCTTTCTTCCTTCTTTCCTCCCTCCCTCCCTCCCTCCCTCCCTCCCTTTCTTCCTTCCTTCTTTCCCAGTGGTTAGAATGCAGTATTGCAGGCTGACTCTGCCGACTGCCAGGAGTTCAATCCTGACAAGTTGACTCAGCCTTCTGTCCTTCTGAGGTCGGTAAAATGAGGACCCAGATGGTTTGGGGGTGGGGCAAGATGCTGACTCTGTAAACCGCTTAGAGAGGGCTGTAAAGCACTGTGAAGCGGTATATAAGCAGGGGTGGACTGCTGTGGGTTCGGGAGAACCTCTAGCTAAGATTCTGTGCAGTTTGGAGAATCCCCAAATCCCACTCCTGGCTGGCTCTGCCCACAAGACCCGTTTTGGATGCAGGTAAGTGCAGGGCGTGCGCGGAGGCTCGGGGAGGGTGAAAAACTGGCCTACTGGAAGTTTGGGAAAGCCAGAAGGCCTCCGGAGCCTGAGGAGGCTATTTTTGCCCTCCCGGAGGCTCAAGGAAAGCCTTTGGAGCCCGGGGAGGGCAAAAATGCCCCCAGCCCACCATGGTGCAGGAGGCAGACTAGGCCACGCCCATCATGGCGACGCCCATCCAGCAACCAGGCAGAGAACCCCTTGCTAAAATTTTTGAAGCCCACCTGTATATAAGTCTAGACTTAACACTGGTGCGGAAACTTATTTTGAATCTTTGGACACTGCTCTTTCTGCCAGGCAGGTTTTAAATAACACTCCTGAAACCATCATCCCTGACTCTTGCTCGTCCCTCCTCCCACCCAGACCAGAGATGGGTTTCAGCAGGTTCTGACCAGTTGTGGAGAACCGGTAGCGGAAATTTTGAGTGGTTCAGAGAACCGGTAGTAAAAATTCTGACTGGCCCCGCCCCCCATCTATTCTCTGCCTCCTCCCAAGTCCCAGCTGATCGGGAGGAAATGGGGATTTTGCAGTATCCTTCCCTGGAATGGGGTGGGAATGGAGATTTTACAGTATCCTTCCCCTGGAGTGGGGTGGGAATGGAGATTTTACAGTATCCTTCCCTGGAATGGGGTGGGAATGGAGATTTTACAGTATCCGTCCCCTGGAATGGGGTGGGAATGGAGATTTTACAGTATCCTTCCCCTGGAATGGGGTAGGAATGGAGATTTTACAGTATCCTTCTGCCACACCCACCAAGCCACGCCCACAGAACCAGTAGTAAAAAAATTCGAAACCCACCACTGCGCCCAAGCAGTATAAAACGGGATATTTTGGGGCTCTGCTTCCTTTCATCTAATAATACCACACCAACAGATGTTTCAAGGGAAAGAAAAAAAGAAAAAGCCGGAGGGAAGCTGTTCCTAGAAATACAATAAATTCCACCCCATTTTTTCCCCCTTTACCTAACAGATTCCAGGATAATCCAGGGCGAAAGCGAGCCAGTTTTCCCGATTCCTCCTTTACCTGGGGACACACCCCGTCAGCTTAGATTTTGTTATTTCTTTGCGGTTGCAAAACAGAAACCGAGCAAGCTTCTTTATTGCTCCAAATAAACAAATAGCGGCACCATTCCTGTGAAGTTGTAAAGCGCGGCCATCCAACCTTGGCAATCTTTAAGACCTGTGGACTTCAGCTCCCAGAATGACTTGCCTGGGGAATTCTGGGAGTTGAAGTCCACAAGTCTTAAAGTTGCCAAGGTCAGACACACCTGGTCTAAGGGAGCAGCCGCCGCCAAGCAAACAATGTAGATTTTTTTTTTAAAAAAAATTCTATTCACAAATGACAAAGGCGTTCATTTATTTAATGGATTCAGTGTATATGCTGACCATCTCGCTACCCAAAGCGACTCTGGGGGCTTTTGATTTGAGGAGGGGGTTTATTTTATTATTTTATTTTATTTTATTTTATTTTATTTTATTTTATTATTTTATTTTATTTTATTTTATTTTATTTTATTTTATTTTATTTTATTTTATTATTATTTATTTTATTTTTTTTTAATTTGATTTATATGCCACCCTTCTCCGAAGACTCAGGGCGGCTTACAATGTGCTCATTTTATTTTATTTTATTGCACCTTGCTTACTCCCTTGGTGCACAGGTAGGGGCAGCAAGAGAGAAGGCATTTTAAAATCTCAAGCTCTTAAACGGAATATGTCTTTTTAATATTATTATGCGTGTTTTCCTGAAAATAAGACCTTATATTTTTTTGAACCCTGAAATAAGTGATTGGCCTTATTGCCAAGCCCAATTGAGCTTATTATCAGGGGATGTCTTATTTTAGGGGAAACAGGGTATTTACTTCCTATTGCCCATAGTTTTTGTAAAATTTTATCTTTTCTTTTTTTATTTCAATATTGTAAGCCGGCCAGAGTTACCTTTTGGTAAGACAGGCGGTGCAATTTCTGCAGGTTCGAATCTTACCAGGCTCAAGGTAAGGAACACAAGAGAGCCTTGGTAGTACAGGGGTTTAAGGCACCCTGTTATTAAGCTGGTTATTAAGACCAGCTGCCTGCAATTACTGCAGGGTTCGAATCTCGCCAAGGCTCAAGGTTGACTCAGCCTTCCATCCTTTCTAAGGTAGGTTAAATGAGGACCCAGTTTGTGGGGGCAATAAGCTGACTTTGTATAAAATATACAAAAGCATGAAGGCTATTGCTTAACGCATTATAAGCCGCCCTGAGTCTCCGGCATATAAATCAAATTTATAAATAAATAAATAAATAAAAAGGGGCAGATAGGTTGACCTGGGAATGACCACCTGTCCCACTGACATTTATTCTTCTTTTTTTTTTTGGAATATATATATATTATTGGTACATTTTTCTTTTAAAAACATAAAAAAAAATCCATGTCTATCTGAACAGCGTATTGTCTGGACATGATTAATTTTGTGTTTAAAAAAACCCAACCATAACCATAATCATACTCGTGATCTTAATAAACATATCATTATTAACCACAATTAACATTTACTTTTTTCCCCCCCATGATTAAAAAAAAATAAATATTTCCTCCACCTTACAAAAGAGCCTTGGTGGCGCAGCAGACTAAAGTGCTGTTAAGTAGCACCAGCTGCCTTCAATGACTGCGAGTTCAAATCTCACCAGGCTCAAGGTTGACTCAGCCTTCCATCCTTTCGAGGTAGGTAAAATGAGGACCCGGATTGTGGGGGCAATAAGCTGACTTTGTATAAAAAAAGAACACCGCTTGGGGGGGGGGGGCGAAAGCCCTACTAAGCAGGTATATACAAAAGTATGAAGGCTATTGCTTAACGCATTGTAAGCTGCCCTGAGTCTCCGGAGAAGGGCGGCATATAAATCGAACCAATCAATCAATCAATCAATCAATCAATCAATCAATACATGGGTGCAGGATGGATAGGCTGCCCATGACCAACCTGGGCTATCCAAGTTTTTTTTTCTTCCCAACAGCTCCTGAGACAGTTCCAGTCAATGCCAAAACGACCCTGCGAGGTAGGCTGTTCCCCACAAAATCCTGATTGTGGGCCTGGGAAGCAAGCAAGCAAGCTGCTGGCTGCGGGCTGGCTCCATTCCTAGCTCGACCCTACCGACTTCTACCCAACTCCTCGATGCTCAGAATAAACCACAATGCCCAAACCACCACCAGACCGGTGGTGACTGCGTGCAAGGAGAAAGTGGTTACCTATCCGGGTAAAAAAAAAAAAAAAAAACACCTTCTGAACTCACCTTCGTCTTGATCCGAATGACAATGCCTTCTTCTGTCTCAAAGTTTTTCCATCTCGCTGGGTTTAGGATCACTCCTTCCTTCCCCCCTCCCTTTCTGGATCGTAAATCCCAGGATCGCGCGCAAAAGAACCCGGAACGGGGCCCTTGCGCGCCTTCCTAAGCAGGGGATCGCGCGCGTTTCGCCTCTTTCTCTCCAAGGTGGATAGGGAA